CCCTGAGAATTACCCACAGCACTTGCAGTGAGTTGTTGTCCAGAACGATGTGTTGGTTTATAGATAGATAAACTGACTGTAGTGTATTTCATTAAATATTCCTTAAGAGTTGCTTTGTGTTTAAGAGACTTTGCAGACATTCACATAGACCCCTCTTAAAAGTTAATTTGTCTGGCAGTCTGGACAAAACAATACTCCAAAGGTTAATAAGCATGAAATGAATGGCTTGGTAAACCCGGGCTAAATGATCATTTGGAGGAGGGAGCAGCTACTGCTCTATTACATGCTGCTGCTGTTAAACCTCAGCAAATCTGCAATCTAAGTGAAGAAGAGCCCAGAGGAGAGAGCCCTCTAGGTCTGCCCCACAACAGCCTCTGGCTTTGGTCTCACATAATGCTTGAAGTGCTTGACAGACTTGTGAGCTCTTCTGGGACTTGCTCTCAGAGGAGCTCTGACAGGCTTTAAAAAAATTTATTATTATTATTATTATTATTATTATTATTATTATTATTATTATTATTACTACTACTATTACTATTTTTATTATTACTATTTGGGGATGGGGTGTAGCTTTGGGGTTGTTTGTTTGGGAGGTTTTTTTGTTTGTTTTTGGGGGGTTGCTGTTATTTGTCTGAGGGGGCTTTGTTGGGGTTTTTTGGTGGTGATGATGGGTTTTGGGGTTTGGGTTTTTTCCCCACAAATCCAGACCCAGCTAACTGAGATGTGACATGCAAGCAGCATGAGATCTTACCAGGGCAAACTCTGTTGAGGAGACTGCAGAATATGGCAGAACCTGCTGACCCAGGCTGGCCAGAAGCCAWGAGCCACTGGAGGTGCTGGGAAGACCACCAAAAATCTTCTGGGGCTTTGCTTTGCCCTTTTCTTTAAATGTGGGGGCAGTTCTCCTGTTTTATTTCTTTGGCTGATTTTTCTTTCTATTTTTTTTGAAAATTCCTCTGAACCGCCCCTGCCCTGCTGGTCCCAGCTGAGATGGAAGCAGGTGAGCACCTCCCCACGTGCCTGCGGCACAGAAATCACCTTCTGCTGCCAAGGAGRGGGAATGTGCAGGGGAGGCATTCATCCTTTATTGCAGGTGCTGATTACAGCTGACCCTCTGCTCCGGGTTCCTTCCACTCTTTGTCAGCTCCAGGCACTGAGGATGTTGCTGAGCCTTTTCTGGCTCTTGCTGGCCGTGCTTGGCTGACAGATTTTCAAGTAGCCAAAATCCCACTGCTGCCTGCACTCCTGCAAACACAGGGTGGTGACAACAGGGGTCACATCCCGGTGGCACAATCACCGACTGCAAAAATCATATTTATAACTCTGACAGCTTTTCCCTGCCCTGCCAGATCGACTCAGAGGTTACATCAGACTTGTGTCCATGCAGAGTCAGTCCCCTGTGCTTTACAGGGACCATTTAGTGGGTTGGAGATGCTGCTGCAGAGGACAACTCGTTCTTGTGGTGACCAGCAGCAGAGCAATGTGCCTGTTGTTAGCTGGTTGTGTGCTGTTTATCAGCTGTGGATGGKGCTGTCCTGAGTGCAGAGCACACCAGAACCTGAGGCTGGAGGAAATGATGCTCCAGAAAGTGAAGGAGAGGGCTGGTGTGAGAGTGGAGACACAAGGGAAGACCTGGCAGCAAGACGAGGTAAGGCCAGGTCAAGCCAGAGCCTTCCGTCAAACGGCCTTTGTCACCTGGCAGCAGCAATCCTCCAAGCCCTTTTTATTTTAGCTCTTCTGTTGAATTACTTTCAGCAAACACAGGTGAACCAAAACAACCGTGCCTTTTGCCCCGGGTTTGGCTCAGGGAGCTGGCTCCCCTCTGGCGAGTGTCCACCAGGGCAGCTTGTGCCTGCCCTGCACGTGCGCTCCTCGCCGAGCCCTGCAGGAACCTGGAGGGGCTCAAATCCCACACCTTGGCCCCAAATAAAGCACTTGATCATGTACATCAGCAGCTGTGGGGTGTGTCCTTGCAGAGCAGCCTGTCCAAGGGTTAGGGGGATGATCAGGGACAGGGGCTGGGGCTTTCCTCCTGTCCTGCCACTCTGTCACARTTAAAGGAGCCCACAAAGCGTTCCCATCTCCTGTCCTGGAGCATTTGGCCCCAGGAAGGTCCTTCAGGGCTTGTCAGTCCCAAGTCACGACTCAGGTCTGAGCCTCCAGGACATGAGGGCTGCACCTTGGCTGAGACCAGAGGTTTCTGGCTCTTGGCCAGGAGGAACCAGATAATGACCCTTGGAAAGCTGGCACAGCAATTTCTTGTGAAATCGCAGCTGTTGGTGAGGCTGCTGCCTGCAGACCCAGGTGACACTGCCCAGGGCCTGGAGCATCTGCCCTGTGCCCATCTCATTCCAGGCTGTAAATGCTGAGAGAGACCCTCCTCACACCCCTGTGCCTGCCAGCAGCAAGGGGACAGCCCAGGGGAGCTGGGAGCATGGCCAGAGCCCCAGGGATTTAAATAAAACACGTCTAGACCTCTGAATTGACAGCTCTCTTCTCCTCCTGGCTCCTTTCATCTCAAGGAAAGGAAACCAATTTCCTTTGCAAAGTAATCTGAGCTCCAGGAGTTAAAAGTGGTGTTTAAAGAGCTCGGTGGTGATGTTGCACAAGGAGCTTGCAGGCTGGAGAAAGCTCTGCCTCAGTGTGTAAAAACTAGGCTAATAATGTTTTCCTGCCTCACACAAGCTGTGTGAGAGTTAATTAATTTTAAAAGCAGCTTGAAACACAGTCACAACGTAGGTGCTAAGTTTTATTTATTAATATTCCATATTCAAAATACAAGACTAATTACTTATGTGCATGGCAAAGAGTGCATTTCTGTGCTAGTAATTCAATTTTAATGGTTTAGGTGGTACTTTYATTGAGCTGTACTCAAAAACAAAAATGTTGCATTAGGTAAAAATTGTGTGTAGGTCTCTCATTAAGTGTTATCTTTATTATACTGATTTAAAATMATTTCATGCTGAATTTGTCAAGACCAAACATCTGGCTTTTGCTGTAGCACACGATGCTTCCTGGATTGGCTGTGTAGTTTTCTGAGCTGGGGATGTAGAGATCTTCCATGAGCATTGATAGGGATTCAAAGATAAACTCTCATCAGAGGGTTTTCTCCCTGGGTATCACATGCTGATGTTTTAACCCCTCTACAGTCGGACCATATTTTCAGAGCTCTAACAAGCTTACAAACAAAATAGTGGGATCTTTCAAAAATGTATTTCTCTGTGTGTGTCAATGGCTTAGAGAATTCATCCCAGTTTCCCATGCTGTGTGGTAGCAATTTGTACATATTTGTATATAATTTAGGGTGGCCTGGCTCTATGTGGAGCCCCTGGATGCCCTGGTAGTGAATAAGTTTCCACTCTAGGGAAAAAGAAATAAACAAAAAAAACCAAACAACATTTAAGAATATCAGAAATTAAAATTAAAAGAAAAAATTCTTTAGAATATTTTCTCCCTGCTGAGTCTGATGGAGAGTTCAGGGAACACCCTGGAAAGCCTAGCTATGGTGAAATTTTATGGATATGCCCTCTAAATATATAAGAGATGTAAAAAGGGTCCTCTGCTTCAACCTATCCAGGAACTGCAGTAACTCTGACATTTCCTAGTGCTTCAAGCACATCACAACAAGGATTTTCACTAAAGATGGTAGATACAGACACCAAAAGTSACATTTTCTCCCCTCCACTTTGAAGCTTGTCCAAATTGCAGCTCAGTGAGGCTGTCACCAGAGTTATTTAAAATGTAAATGCATTGGAAGTGAAATGGCMTCAGTTTGGGTGATTTTTTAAAGATAAGTAAGTCACAGTGGAGAAAACCTGGYAATGCACAAAGTTCAAAGTTGGTCTTTGCATGAGAGCAAAGGAGCCATGGGAAGGGCAACTCAAAATTATGAGCAGAAATTGGAGAGGTGCCCACTGTGATAGTYTGAGCTCAGCTTAGAAGCAGATAAAGACAGAAAGTTAATTTTTAACTTAAAGTTTTGCGCATTAAGAGACGTGTTATATTTCCTTGTGATGCAGTATAATGAGAAACAGAATTATTATTTAGTGATTTCACTTTTTTTTTTCTCAAATATATGAATCTGAGGCTTGTGTGCTGTTTGCCACTGGATTGATGTCTGCCTCACCCACATTTTGCCACTGCTTTTGTGGGAATTGCTGTTTGCTGCCAGATAAATTCATATTATTACTGGGTCTCCTTTGGCTATGCACAGGGTAAAGGGGGGTRGCAACAGGCAGATTCTCGCCATCCTGGATGAAAATTCCATTTGCTGATGGTAGATATTCCACCCTTTCCCTCCAACTGAAGTCTCCCATGGGCTCAAGGGAGCTTCCACTGCCCAATGCCCCCACCAGCCCCTCTCAATTCCTTGGTGCCTGGKTTGGGATGGGGAATTTCCATCCAAGGGACATATTAGACTCTTCTTTCTAATGGGCTGATGTGCATTTTCCTTATTGAAATTATGTTTTCCCCTTTAACTCGTGGTTTTTGTAGGCTTCCTTTCCACCTYGTGTGTGTACTGTGTGCTGGAAAAGAAACCTTTAAACGGTTTGAAGCTGCTGCTGGCTGTAAAATAACTGGAGCTGACAGTGGGCTTGCACAAGCACGGAGCTGTAAATCAGTGAAATGTATTGCACATAATTTCCTGGTGCCTGCTSTCCTTGGGAGCAGATCCCTGCTGGGATGAATGTCATCACAGCGTGCGAGCTCCTGGATTTGATGCTTCTTTTGTTCGCAGGGGGAACGGGGCTTGCCTCTGCCAAGAATGGAATGTCCTGCCACAGGATCAGCAGCCTCCTGACTTCTCTGGAGCCTTTCCCTCTTGCAGCCTCAAGGATCTTGTGCTTCACCCCACAAAATGCCCASTAATTATTTTGGGGGTACAGAACAGGTGGGAACTCCCTCCTGAGGTGCTGCTATCTTAAACGGGCAAACCCATGGGGATAAAACCTCTGGGTAATGGAGGGCACTGTGTTTCTCTGTGTCTGCTGGTGAGTGGAGATACAGCTCTTTTTTTTACCTTTGTTGTATTAGTCACATTAGTTATWAAGTAAAACTTCCACACCCTTGCTAACGCACACAGATCGGCATTGGATAATTAAGAGCGYAAAATAATTCCAGAATAAAAACATTCTCAAAGCAGTCATCTTTTGAGGTTWTCTGTCCATGCATTCACTGTAACTTCTGCTAAACCTCTGGAGCACCAGCAGCTGCCTGGAGCAATGGGTGGCACTGGTGGCTGTCGCCAGAGGAGCAGCCATCACCATTCCCAGTGCTGGACTGGGAGCAGTGTGGCACCTCTCCTTGGGATCACTTTCCCTGCCGTGTTTTTCTGTAGATTCAGCCCCAGCTGCTTCCAAGAGCTGCCAGCAGATCTGGTTACCTTTGCAAGCACATCGCTTTTTTGATTTTTTTTCTTTTTCCATTATTTTTTCCCCCTGAACCCAGGGATATTATACAATTACAATGTGTATTTATTTCTACTCTCGCTACTTCCTCTTGAAATTATGCAAGCTGTTTAAATCTCTCTGGCATTTTCATGGAAGGGTGGATTCTGCAGGGTGTGGGAGTGTGTGCAGCAGCTATATAATTTCCTGCCTCTGATTTCCCCTGGGGAAGGGGAAGGGGAAGGAGAAGGGGAAGGAAACACTGGCACCATCTGCACATCTTGGGATCCTTAGGAAYTCGGCACCCTGAAAGTCAGCTGAGAGGGGAGCAGCACCCCAAAAACTGGGCTGGGGAACCTCAAAAGGGAGCTAATTATTCTGTGTCCTTTTGAGCTACAGAACYGGGGCTGCTTGGCAGAGATTGCGACAGATTTCTGTCCTTGGGGAKCCGGGCATGGGAACAGTCGGGGCACGCGAGGCAGCAATGACAGAAACACCTCTGGCGGGTCAGCGCCGCTCTTTGAATCTGCACCAAAAACCCCATCCTTCTGCAAACACTCRTTTCACAAAACACCGCAAACATTGCGTTAGGAAACACCAAAGAAAGCCACAGAAATAATCTGGATGTGGGTCTTGCMCCTGCTGTGGAGTGACCCTGCCTGGTCAGCGCTGGGTGAGGAGGTGAGGGCGGCTGTCCCTTTGTTACCTCCTCGGGGGTAAARTTGCATCAGCYCCRGGACTGGCTGCCCTCAGCCTGCCTYRTGGGAGAAAACTGCCCATTCCTGCCTGCCAGCTGGCCTCCCCCAGAAAAAAACCTCATGAAAAGTGCACTGATGGGATTTGTGTGAGACTGCAGCTCTTTCAGCGCTGATGTTGTAGGGAACTTGAAGCGGAGCTTGCTTACACTAACTCTCTGCCAAACAAAATTACCTCTGTGGAAAAAAAAGCTTCCTAGTCTGGGATCTTAAAGGCAGGCTCCAAAATTCCTTTGTATCCATGACCCAGGATAGCTGCACCCAGAACATCCATGGAGAGCAGAACACGATTTGGGGAGCTCCCCTGGCACTGAGTCCCACTGAGCCCTGGAGATTTCCATTGTCTCTGCCAGGCTGCTGAGAGCTCTCTCATGCTGGAAATGAAATTTGCAGCACGGAGTAAGTGAAGAAGAAATGGGTCGAGGCTCTTTCCTCCAAGCCCCACACCTTTGGGTGCTCTGGACATAAAATTAGTAATCCTTGCTGGCATCCCTCACATCCACCCTGGTTTTCTCTCATTGTTGTGCAGATGAAAATAAGAAGTTTGCTGGTGTTGGATTATTTTTCTCCCTCATAGTGCCTGTGCTGGTGAGCCTCTACATATTCACATTTTTTGGGCATGCCAGTGGATTTGCAGCACAAGCACTCAAGGAGGATGGGTAGCACTGAGATAAACACATATCCATGCACATCTCACCCTCTATCTTCATTTCTTTTTCCTCTGGGAATTCAGTTGCTGCCTTCAAAATTTGTCATAATATTATCCAATACAAATAGATACAAACAAATGATCCTTTTGGGATAAAAGGAAAAATATTAAAAAATCCTCACTAGTTTAGGGAAGAAACTTGGCAAACTATTGGACTTTTTTGAACTTTTTCAAGCTTTCCTTGACAGTKTGTGACTGGCCCAGACAAGCAGAGAGATCCTTTTGTTCCCTGTATTTCCAGTGCCAAACAAAGCATTGCTGCTGCTTCCAGGACACAGGAGGTGGGTGTGCTGGAAAGATGCCTGATGTGAAGTGGTTTTAGTGTGATTCAGTTCTTTCTCCTCTCTCTTCTTTCTCTTTCTTTCTCCTCTCTCTTTTGCATGAATAAAGAAGGCCTCTGTCTCACCATCCTGACAAGTGAAAGGCATGGGAAGGGAACAGGGCAAGGGGAAGGGAGGAGAAAGCCAGAAAAATGGGGCAAAAGAGAAGAGGTCACTCCTCCTCCCTGCCTAAGTCCTYTCCAGAAAGTTCTCCAGGATGTCCAAAGGTCCCTGCCATGATTGCTGCTGCACCTCCTTCTGCTGACTGGCAAACTCTTYGCTGTACTTTTGCCAAGCCACGTTTGGAGAACAGAGGAGGGGCACTGTGTCTTTCCCAACATCCCAATCCAGCAGGAGAATGGTGAAAGGAAGGAAATTGCCACTCCTTGTCCCTGTTAACACTGTCGCCCCCATCATGCCTTTGGCTGCCTGTTTGTGGCACCTCCAGGTTTTACTTATATGTGACTAAAATTATCTACAAAATATTTCAATACTCCACTCTGGGCTGCATTTGTGGAGTAAATGCCGCCCACCCCAGAGCACACAACCTTCGCTGATGCACTGCACAACTTTTAGTACAAACYGTTTACATTTTGGTACAAACCATTTCCATTTTGGTACAAACCACGCACTCTGCACAGTTTTAAAGCAGGTAGAAAGGAAGAGGACATGTTTTAGGCCACGTGTCAGTGTGAAGGGTGCTCTGAATAGCACAGGATGTGATGTAATTCCATGAGGACCAGGCTCCCTGCAAGGGGCTGCAAGCCCAGTGAGCTCCAGCAGCCTCAATTCATTGGGTGGAGGTGGATTGCAGTGGGGTACACGGGAGTGCTGTGAGGTGATGGGGTGGTTTGGGGTGCAGGATGGCACTGCCAGCTGCTGGGCACAGGCTGGGCACTGTCACTCTCCTCCAGTGCCCAGGGCAGAGGAATGGGCATGACAGTGAGACCAAAGGTGGCTGAGGAAGCCAGAGGAGCCCTGGAAGTGCGAGTTGGTCTGTGAAAGGTCAGTGAACAGCAGCACTGTCTGACCCTCCTGGCTCACCCCTGCCCTGCAGATGTGCAAATCTCCCATGCCTGAGCAGATCTCCCCAATTCCTGCTGTGCCTTGCACAACTCTGAGGAGTTTCCCCGAGGCTGGGAAGGCAAACTCTACATCTGCAGCAGGGAGTTCTCCTGTTAAACCTGAGAGTTTTCTCTGCCTCTGCAGAGAAATACAGAACGTGTTTCTTCCTTCAGCCAGCTGAACCAGACTGGTTTTGGGGCCGTCAGGCTGCTGCCCCACACCCAGCCCCAAAGCACCTTTTGTGGGGAAGGGTYCCAGCTGTCTGACATCCAGCACTGTCCCTGGCTGATGGGAACAGAGAAGGGTGCAGGGCTGCTGGCTGCCACCCACCTGCAGACAGCCCTGTTTCTGTCTTATCTGCAGTGGTTAATCATTACACTTCACCTGCATCCCCCTGGCACGCACTTATTCCTTCTGGAAATGAGTTCAATCCCCCGAGACTGAGTGAATAATGATAAAAAGAAAGAAAATCTCCCGAAAACCAAGCTGAGCATCTCTTGTGCCCACGTGTAGTGCACCTGTAGGATCAGAGCCAGGGGATTGCTGCAGATCCCAAGTCCACGTGCTGCAGTAGGGCCAGGGAGGGGCTGAGCCTGTCAGACACTCAGAGCCCTTGGARCAGCTCTGCAGAGTGTGARTRTGGGGCAGGGACTCAGGGGAAGGCAGCACATCCTCTGGGCAGATCCTCTGATCAAGATGGGGTGAGTTTCAGGTCTCACTGAAGGTGTTACTTTTCATCAGCTCATGTATTTAGAAAGGGCTGAACTCTGTGCAGCAGCAATCCATGCCTGGCTTAGGGCCAGACCACRCATAAGGAAAAAAATCTTTTACAATGACGCTGGTAAAACTCTGGAACAGGTGCCTGGAGAGGGGGGGGATGCCCCATTCCTGAGAACACTCAGGTTGGGTGGGGCTGTGAGCAACCTGATCTGGTTGAGGAGACCCCTACTCACTGCAGGGAGTTGGACCAGATGGTCTTTAAACATCCAATTCAATCCAAACTATTCCATGATCCAATGATTCTGTGATAGGGTTCCTGCTTGGCATTCCCCAGCCCCCTCCTGCAAGATTTCACAGAGGAGAGAGCAAACCTGGCTCCTGTGCTGTCCATTCTCACTCCACAATGCAACAGCTGCTCCAGGCAATGCACAAAGCTGCTGAAAACATGCAAATGCCCATTTTTGTTCAGCTTCTTGGAGAAACCCTGCAGGATGGAAGAGGAAGATGCTGGTAATTGTGCTGCTGGGGGAGTTTTGAAGGAGACATGTCAGCTCTAGGACAAAGATGAGTTAAAAGCAAAGGGGGAGAAATGGTTGTTTCAGGAAATATTAGAAGATTTAAAATGTACAAAACATCTCACAGTACCACAAGACCAAAAAAAAACATGGATGTAAGGATCACTGGAGAAATCATTATCTGGAAAATTGATAATATGGCATGAAACAGTCCCACRAGTTTCTAGTCCCAAGCTCCACAGCTCTGAGCTTGGTTTAATA